CTTCCTCTTTTTCAAGCTAATAAAATGATTTTGTTTAAAATAGTGCTTTCCGAGAAATATAGAACCCTGTTCAGATATTAAACATCAAAGGAAAACCATAAGCATATTGTATGCTTTGGTTTCTATAAATGAAGAAAGAGATTTGCAGGCAACTTCTGTGGCATCTTCTTTATTTAAGATCAAGGATCAGCAGAAAGGAAGGGTTACTTAAATTTGACTACAATCATCTAAAGATTACTAACCCTCAAACTACCATTACAGTTACATTTTGGGGGTAGTGATCAAAGTGTTTATGAGTTATATAGAGTGTATAGATAGATAAATAGATACTTCTGCAGGTACTATATTATTTTTTGGATGTGAAAAATTGGAGGTATCTTACTATTTGGAAATACTGTTTACTCTACTTGAAGATGCCATCAATTATAAGACCATTAACTTACTAACAGCTTTTCTGAGGTGGGGGGGGAATACCTTTTTATAAGACATTTCCCAATTTTATGCATTTAAAATGGAAGGAGGGAGGAATGAATTTTAGAATTGAGAAAATTTTATGTAGCTGCTACAATACATTTTAATTATAAAGAACACAGATATAATGTCCAACTTTTTTAAGATTATTTATTTTAGAGAGCGAGCAGGGGGAGGGGCAGGGAAAGTCTTAAGCAGACTCCACACTGATCACAGAGCCTGTTAAGGGGTTCAGTCTCACAACCCAGAGATCCCGACCTGAGCCAAAACCAAGAATCAGTCGCTTAATTGACTGCACCACCCAGGTACCCCTATGATGACCAAATTTTAAGAAAAGTCAGATTTTTTCCCTTTTGTTAAAGTTGCCCTTTTTAAATACCGCTTTTGTTAAAAAAATTTTACTTACCTAGTGTGAAGTAAAAGTAAAGTCATTGAGGAACAAAAGTAAGTAATTTTCCCTAAGATTGATACTGTAAAAATGAAAAAAAAAGATAGAATAATGATAAGAGGTATTTTATTTTATTAGGAGATAGTATAAAAACTATTTCTTTTAGCTTAACAAATTGATATGTATAAATTCCACCCTAACCCATAAAATTATCATTTAGTTAACACTATCACATACTTATTCTGGGCCAGACACTAACTCAGATAGTAGTTGCCTCATTTCACAAAATTAGAGTTTAATATGGGAAAATTGAAGAATAAACTTGACTTTTGTGTATTATGTTTCTCCTTATGTTCTATTCATATCTTCCTCCATTGATTCAGTAATAGCAATGCATAATTTTCCCACAAACTTCATCCTTATATGTAGAGAAAGTATTGATAAAATATTCTTGTAATAAAACATTTTCTTGCAAATATAAACTTTATTCAAATCTTACTAACACTATATAAATTCTTATAGGAGAGCTGCAAACTTTTCATACAAAATTTTTAACTCCAACCTTTGTAAGATAGAGAAAATCTTTGCTGAGCTTCTTAGGAAAGAGGAAAAGGTGCCTTCAGTAACTTGGTATTTAAGTCAAACCAAAAGTACCACCTTACTATGTCATTAACCTACAGGAACAGCCTGAAATATATGTATGTCACGTGTACCTTTTTTCTCTCTCTTTTACTGTGACATCACCTGGGGGAATCCAGAAGATTGGATAACCAAGAAATGCCTAATCAAGATTCTGCTGTACATGTGAAAATGGTGGGTATTTGAGTATTTCCAGTTCCATTTATTAATGGTGAATCTTCACCACTTTTACATCTGTCTCTAACCAGATCATTAATTATGGGACTGTAACTTTATGCAGGTTTTTCTTCACAGTGTTTGATACACAATAGAACCTCAACTATTTGTTGAATTGGATTTCAACTTACCTTAGAAAATTTTTTTTGCTTGAAATATAATGTGTATTATAGTGTTTCTCGGCATATAAAATGGTTATCCCATTCCTTTTTGTGCTAAATTTTCCTTGCTCAGCAATAACACACTTAAATTATACAGCACGAGATGTTTTAAGCTTCTGAATTAAAATGACAAGTCTTTAAATAAAAAACTTCTTGTATAACAGTAGAGCTCATTGCATTATAGACATTAGATTGAGGAAGAAAAAATATAGGCCTTGGAGTCAGAGCTGGCTTCAGATGTTAATTTAGTCCTTAAGAGCTATGATACCCTTGAATGAGGGTAATAATCTCACCTTTAAGAAATTGTATGAAACCACCAAACTCTTGTTTTATTCAGATTTTTCCCAGCTTTATTGAGATATAATTGACAAAATTGTGAGATATTTAAAGTGTACAGTGTGATGATTTGAGATTTGATATACATTGTGAATCATCTTCCCCATGTGGTTAACACATCTATCACCTCACATATTTACCCTTTTTTTGGCAGGGGAAGGAGTGGGGGGTGGAAAACATTTAAGTTCTACTCTTAGCAGATTATATAATAGAGTATTATAAACTGTAGTCACCATAACATACATTGGATTTTCAGACCTTATTCATCTTATAAAGGAATGTTCTTATTCATATTTAATGGAAAAGTATGTAAAGTGCCTAATAGAACATAGTAAGCACTCAGTAAATGTTAATTCCCTGTTATGTTAGTGTTTTCACTATGTAAGTAGCATTTGTATGTGTGGAAAAAATTATATCCATTTTCCATATTCATAGTGGTAAAATTGTAAAAAATCACAGTTTCTCCCTCTCTTTTAAAGAGGACAGCTGCCCCACGATCACCTTATATCTTCTCTTTCTGTTGTTTGTTGTCATTCTTCCTCTTCTCTTGTATTTTTTTCTTCCTCTCTCTAGTTTTTTTTTTTTTCATTTGAGCCTATAAACCAGAACATGACTTAGCATGAAAACAGCTTTGTGTCACAGTTAATAAACCTCTTGTTCAGCTTAGCTGTCCTCATCCAGCGTGGGACAGGAGGTGAAGGCTGCCTCAGAGTGCTGATTAAGCTGCCGTTGGTGTAGTTACTGCTGTTAGGATGGAGCATGTGAAATTGCTGTGTTTTTGTATGTTGAATAGTCCAACATTGGCAGTTTCATTTGGTTCAGCCTACTGCATCGGCATGACCTTTGCTTCTGTTGCATGATTAGCATTGAAATTTGTCTCTGATATGTAACATTAAGTCAATCTAAAACTTCTTTTTTTTTTTACTTGAGTTGATTTTTTTTTAACCAAAATTAATACAAGTGATGTAGGAATGTCCTACCATATAAATTGTTGTTACCTGGGTCCCAGAACTCTCTAGCATGTCTTCTTTGGAACTAAGTAGCACTGTAGTCAACCCACAAAGAGACTGTTGAAGGAAGACCAGCCAAAAAATTACACATACTTATATATATATATATTTTTACTATCATTGCATTAAGTTGCACAATTTTTACCTTGGGGTTTGCTTTTCTAAAAATGTTGATACATCTTTTAAGTTGGCAGCTCCTTAGAATGTTGTTCTTAACTTCTCATGACCTGGCTCCAAATCTCTTTCCACACTTTACACACACAAACTCTCTCTCTCCCTCCCTCCCTGCCCCCCTCTCTCTGTCTCTCCCACACACAGTAAAGTTCTAGACAGAGCTATTTATCTTTTCCCCCCACATTAGACCCTGCAGTTTGGCTCATGATCTCAGCATATACAAATCCTACTTCTCTTTGAAAGCCTAGCTCAGTTGGCTCTTCCTCTTTTGGCCCCAGCAGAGGTAATCACAGTCTCTTATGTTCCTCTTGTATTTTATCTGGACGTCTGAGCAATGTATTACTTATTCGGGCTCCTGTATTACAATCTATGTTAGAGAACATGCACCTTGAGTTTAAGATGTTTTTTTTTTTTTTTTAAAGATTTTTTATTTATTTGACAGAGAAAGACACAGCGAGAGAGGGAACACAAACGGGGAGTGGGAGAGGGAGAAGCAGACTCCCCGCCGAGCAGGGAGCCCGATGCGGGACTCGATCCAGGGACTCCAGGATCATGACCTGAGCCGAAGGCAGTCGCTTAACCAACTGAGCCACCCAGGCGCTCCGAGTTTAAGATGTTTATCTTACTAAAACATTTGTATCTCTTACAGAGCTGCCTTACACTTAATGACTATATGTTGAATGAATGAATTTGGCCTACACTCCCTTAATGTGGAGATAGGCCAAAAATGTGGTAGACAGGGGGAACTGGCTATCACTACACTTTAGTAATGCGTAGTCTTCCAAATAAGTCATAGAATGATCCATGTATGTGAATGAATATACCAGTCTGAATAGGTGGCTTTGGATCTATACTTTTTATGTAGTTACATGAAAATTGTAGTGCCCACTCCTTTGTACCAAAGTAGTAATGAAGTCTTTTGCTTGTACCAAATATGAACATTGGGAAAAAAAATATTTCCCCTGAGAACTTCAGACAAAGATCCTTAAGTCATTTAAACTAATTTTTATGTGGTCCAGTTTCAGAGAAATACAGGTAAAACACCATAAGAACAATTTTGTGACTATGCCATGCAGATACTCTGTTATATCTTGTCTCAGTGTATCTGCAAGATAATATCAAATAATCAAATATTGCTCTAGAGTTGTGAATAAAACTGTGTAACTTTGAAATCAACTTCATTGCTTTTCGATTATGGAAATAGACTGATTGGTCTGTACAAATTTCATTTCATCTGTACAAATTCATTCTACAGCCAGAATACATGTATTTTAGGTTTTTGTTAGTCATCTTTAGCATTAAGTCAGATTTGGCTCCAGTCAACCAAAATGCCCTGATTCTTGTCAGGAAAACTGCTCCTTCAGCATTTTACATTATGCCTTATAAAATGAATTTGTTTTCTTTTGTTTGCAAATGATGGACATTTTTATCCCCTTATTTTTTTACCATAAAATTATATCATAAATTGAAAAGTTTTTGGACATTTCAAAATAACTTGCCCTTCAGACTTGAAGCATCATTATTTTAAGTGCTACCAAACAGGTGTAGTTTTGTCCAAGAAGAATTATGGAAGAAGGGATTTGAGGAGGTAATGAAAGTATGTGATGTATGATGAATGTATATTCCTGCAGTATACTTCTTAATATTCTGATATTCTGACATTCTTTGACATATTTCATGTAGTATTTTAAAAATATATTTCTTAGGTTGCATTCTAAAATATTTGAGTAAAATGCCCAATATCTCAAGTTTCTGAGAAGTATTTATGATATGCTTTGGTGACATTGTATGTGTATCATGGGGGGGGTATAAGTATATTACCTTATAACCCAAAGCAGATATAATTATCATTTTTAAATTTCTTACACTTGTGTCCTCTTTCCTATTGTGTTCTCTGCTGCTCTTTCATTTGTTCTCATCACTGTGATTTCACCCTGGTGCTATTTGGGTATTCACTGCTTATTTATCTGAAAATGAATGGCTGTTGCACAGAAGCAGGGATATCAATTCCTCCAGCTTCTGGTTGTCTTTCAGGCCCTAAGTGATATTATAATCCAATCTATTAGTTGTTAACCTAGCAGAAACCAGCCTACTTTGAAGTGGCTTTGGTACTATTTTCCTATTCATTATCTGAAAGAGGTTATCCTATCCTATTTAAATATGGGTGTTGGGTGGTGGTGGTGGTGTTTTTTTTAATTGAATGTATTATAGGATGTGATTTGCATGAGGCAGGACATCTTTGTCAGTATGGACACACTAAAATAAAATGTTTAATTTTCTTGGTGAAAATATAGTTAGTGACATTTATCTTCTGTTGCTTTCAGTAGTGGGTTAGTTATTAAGTCAAACATATGCTGATTACTATGCATCTGCCAATTAAGGCAGAGGTAAGAGCAGAATATAGTTGTTAGGAGATGAACTTACTAGTTAAGGTATTTGTAGGGGAGCTATAGAAGTGATATTCCAAAACAGCAACGGTTTCTAAAACTCAACAGGAAAATGGTGTAAGTACTGCTAATCATCATATCCCTGGCATCTAGCGTCTGACACAAAGTAGATACAGGTAAATATTTGTTAAGCAAATTAATGGATTAATGAATGAAGAAAAGGAATGTAGGAATAAGTGCCTATTTGCTTTTCTCATCTATTGAAAAATCACTGTAAAATAAATATTTAGATAACCATTATTCTGTTGACACCTCTAAAGTCCAGTTAAGTTAAAAGAATCACTGTTTGAAAGTTAGTTGCATTGCAGGTTATCCTATGCTATTTAAATATGGCTTTTTAAAATTAGGCGTATTGTAGCATCTTTCATTAGTGGAGAAAATTTTAATGTTAGCATTTCTCTTTCCTGTATGTATCTTTCAGTCTTAGGAAAACAGTTTAGCCTTTTTCCGATTTTCTAATTTTGTCTATTATGCAGAGACAGCATAGGACCTGAGAGACTCAGCTGGTCGTATGCTCTTGGAGCAGAGCTATAAGGTCTAGGGAATTTTCCATACTCATGTCTGTGATGCACATGAAATATGTTAATATTGTTGGTAACATACCCAGAATAATAGCATATAAAGTAAATAAAGGTTACTGGGTACAAACCAGTATAGAACCTTGATTTGAGGTTCTCTTACTGCCCTTTTATACTGTGGAGCTATTATATGCCCTCTAATCTCCTATCCACCCCCACCGTCTTCGTGTACACATGCTCTAAGAACACTGTGCCTGTGCATTTTACTCTGATCAGTTTCGTTTTCTCTGTGATAGGGTAGAAGAAAGAAACAATATTTAACATTAAATTGTTGAGCAACACTAAATCCTGAATAAACCAGCTTAGTAGCTGCCTAAGCCCAGGTGTTGTAATACCTTTGTTTGTTTGTTTGTTTTTAAAAGTAGGCTCCATGCCCAACATGGGTCTTGAGCTCACGATCCTGAGATCAAGAGTCTTATGCTGATGGTCTCATACTTTTTAGTAGTTGTCTTAAACTGAAATAAATCTGTTGTAACATTTATGCCAAGAGCAATGAAATTATTTGGGATTATTGGTATTACGTATAATATGATAAAGGAACAAAGATCTTGAAGCACCTTTTCTTTTCTTTTTTTTTAAAAAGATTTTATTTATTTATTTGAGAGAGAGAATGAGAGACAGCACGAGAGGGAAGAGGGTCAGAGGGAAAAGCAGACCCCCCGCTGAGCAGGGAGCCCGATGTGAGACTCAGTCCCGGGACTCCAGGATCATGACCTGAGCCAAAGGCAGTCGCTTAACCAACTGAGCCACCCAGGCGCCCTTGAAGCACCTTTTCAAGTTAAATATATTTAAAATATATTTTAATTACCTGCACAAAGGTACACTTGTGGGGAATAATCATGTAACATTTGTTACCTTTCTGCTAAGATTTTTTTAAATGTAAATATAAATGTAAGCTAAATCTTAAGCAGAAAGTTTTTTTGTTGGTTGGTTTTTTTTTTTAAGTAGGCTCCATGTCTAGTGTGGAGCCCAGTGCGGGGCTTGAACTCACAACCTGAGATCAAGACTTGACCTGAAATCAGGAGTCGGATGCTTGACCGACTGAGCCACCCAGGCACCCCTTAAGCAGAAAGATCTTATAAGAAAACTCTTTATCACGAAGTTCAGATATTCCCCATTCCACTCTAAGGTTTTATTTTGATTAATGAATTCTGCTAAAAACATTTTTATAACAGTATATGAAGTAATAATTAATTTTAAAAAGCCAGATGAAAAAATAGAATGAGTTAAACTATGTGCATAAACAGGCATGTTTGTAATCATAGAAATGAAAATAATGGAAAATAGGGGCGCCTGGGTGGCTCAGTCATTAAGCGTCTGCCTTCAGCTCAGGTCATGAACCCAGGGTCCTGGGATCGAGCCCCGCATCGGGCTCCCTGCTTGCTGGGAAGCCTGCTTCTCCCTCTCCTACTCCCCCTGCTTGTGTTCCCTCTCTCGCTATCTCTCTCTCTGTCAAATAAATAAATAAAATCATAAAAAAAAAAAAAAAGAATGGAAAATAAATTTAAATGTTTACTTGTTTATCTTTAGGTAGTAGAATTCCAAGCCATGTCTATTTTCTTTTTTATATTTTTTCTGTTATTTCTGTGATAACCATGCATGACTTTTATAATTAGGAGAATTATACTTTTTGATAATATATTACAAATATAATTTTGTCTTAATCTTTGAGATAGAAACTGTTAATGTGCTTCAAAAAATGTTATATGTATAAATGGTAATTTGATATGATTTGCTTTTTTTTTTTTAAATAATGCCTCAACATTTTTACATCTTAAAATAATATAAGCTTCTGCTTGGTATCAAAAGAACCTGGGGAAAGAGGAATTAAAAATAGTTAATTAACTTCCGTTTATTTTTTAGATGCCTGAATTCCAGAGAAGTTCAGTTCGGATTAAGAACCCTGCAAGAGTAGAAGAAATTATCTGTGGTCTTATTAAGGGTGGAGCTGCCAAACTTCAGGTGAATAATTATCAAGAAGTCTTTATTATTAAGTCTTTATTTTTAATGCTCAGGCGGACTCATCTCATGTTTTGTTCAAATCTGAGTAATACTAAATTCCAAGCTAACTAATGCAAGTGCCTAAGTATTAAACCATTTTAAGAATAATATTCAAATTTGGGGCGCCTGGGTGGCTCAGTCAGGTGAGCATCCGACTCTTGATCTCAGCTCAGGCCTTGATCTCAGGGTTGTGATTTCAAGCCCCACAGTAGACATATGTTTTTTTAATTATGGTAAAAAACACGTAATAATGAATCTATTCTCTTAATAAATGTTTAAGTGTACAGTACAGTATTGTTAACTCTGTGTGAACTGTTATACAGCAGATTCCTAGAATTTCTTTATCTTGCATGACTGAAACTCTATACCCATAGAAGAGCAACCCCACATTTCCTTCTCCCCCCACCCCCAGCCACTGACAACCACCATTCTATTTTCTGCTTCTATGAGTTTGACTAATTTAAATACCTCACTTAAGTGGAATCATGCAGAATTTGTCCATCTCTAAGTGGCTTATTTCACTTAGCATAATGTCCCCTCAAGGTTCATCCATGTTGTAGTATATGACAGGATGTCCTTCTTTGCAATTGAGAGCTTCATATAGTTTAATTGTCTCCACTGCATTTTTGTACATTGACCAGGTGGGTTGAAATTGTGCGACATTTTATCTCTATCAAGAATAGTAGCCCAGGGTGCCTGGGTGGCTCAGTTGGTTAAGCGACTGCCTTCGGCTCAGGTCATGATCCTGGAGTCCCGGGATCGAGTCCCGCATCGGGCTCCCTGCTCGGCAGGGAGTCTGCTTCTCCCTCTGACCCTCCCCCCTCTCATGTGCTCTCTCTCAAATAAATAAATAAAGTCTTAAAAAAAAAAAAAAAAGAATAGTAGCCCAATCACCTGCAACTGCAAATTTTAATACCGATTAATCAGATTTTATTTGGTGACGATGCTGGGGGCACTGAAGGTATCACTGTGTACTTAAGGTGATTCCCAGGACTTAACCACAAGGCGATACCCTGAGGGCCCCAGCATTGCCACCAAATAAAATCTGGTTAATCAGCACAGGAATTTGCAGTTGGAGGAGATAGGCTGCTGTTCCCAACAGAGAGCTATGTTAGAACACACAATGCAGAGAGAATAACCTGTGGGGGTGGGGGTGGGGGCAGGTCAGGGACTGAGCACAGTCCCATACCTCTAGGAAGGGTGCAGTATGTGTCTGCCCTTAGTGCCTGTATGGTCCATAATGCTTTTCCCCCTTTCTTTACAGATAATAACAGACTTTGATATGACACTGAGTAGATTTTCCTATGAAGGGAAAAGATGCCCAACATGTCATTGTAAGTGTGGCATTCATAAACAAATTCATGAAAGTAATTCTTATTTTAAGATCTTTTCTTACCTATATGATCTATGAGATTGACTGGGTTTTTTTTTTTTCTTCTTCTTTTTGGACATTGAAAATGAGAAGACTTGCCTTTTTCTTCTTATATTTTGAGGATTTGTTTTTTTCACCCATGTTATATAAATGACTATTTTCAAGTGTGGTTTTGGTTGCAAGAGGAATGAAGACTTCTGAAATTTTTCTCCAGATGTGGTCTGTTCATTATCTATTGAAGAAATATTTACATGGATTTTAAACTTTGGATTAACCTAAAGAAACAGCATTTATCAACCACTCTGGTTTTCTAAGAACGTTACTGAATTTTTTTGTTGTTGATAATATAAATTAAGTAAAAGAGTAATTAAATAAATATCCAGTTAAAATACGTTGCTAGGATAATACACCTTTTTTGTTTTCCAAACTTGGCAGTGAGTTTTAAAAAAATAATACTCTTCAACCTGACAAAGAAGCAGTGATATAAGGCCTCTCATTTACTGGAGGTGCACGTGGAATTTGAGAATTCATTTTGATACTTTATATTAAAACCACTAGAAATCATACCCTTTGGCCCAGTAATTCTTTGGAGAATTTCTAATGAAGTACTCCCAAATGTAGGAAAAAAGCTTTAGATCCAAAGTTTAGATTTTAAAACCATTAGGTTCTCTAGCAATGCCATGTGTACTATAGAACTAAGTCCAAAAGTTGTAATGACCATGCTTGGTGGACTTGGCATTTAAGCTTAAAAGAAAAGTAGTAAGTTATTTAAAGTAGTGGTAGCATCAGTCAGAATGTTTCTTTTAATGCTGGTTTGCTTTCACTCTTCAGATGTCATTGACAACAGTAAGCTGGTTACAGATGAATGTCGAAAAAAGGTAAACGCTAACGGTAATCCAGAGTTACTCAAAGTCTTCCTTTTGCCTGAGAATTTCTTCAGGTTCATTCACATAAACAATGGATATGAAGTGCTTCTAACCATACCTAGCACCTAGTAAACACTGAATAAATGTTACTTTTATTGTGTGGGTTATACACTCTCAACATTATTTTAAGGAAAAAATTAACTTTTTAACAAAAACAAAATTTACATAAAAAACTTTTAATTGGTTATCAAAATATTCTGCTGTTCTTACATTAGCTGTACATTAAAACAAAAGTACTTTGGTTTTGTGTAGGTTTTGCTCCTTTAAATTGACCAGGAAATTGCCTCAGTTCTCTGCTTGAGTATGTATCTGTCTGTGTCTATGTTAACAACATAGGACTCCAAAGATGAATCAAATTTAATACTTTCATATGAGAACGAAAGGGTTTTTTGTAGTAATAATTTGATTATTAGTCGGTTTCACTGAATTGCTGACCTGAAAGTACTTTGTTACATATAAACTAGATCAACAAAGATCTCTTCAGTTGATATATGCATTAGCCAAGTACTCATGATCTAATCTTTAACAGCAGTTTATGGAAACCATTTGTTTGTATTGTTTTGCTTTCTGTAAAACTCAGCAGCTTAATGACAACTCTGTCATCCTCATGATTAAGTTATTCATTTATTTCTAGTTACTGCAACTAAAGGAAAAATATTATGCTATTGAAATTGATCCTGTTCTTACCATAGAAGAGAAGTACCCCTATATGGTAGAATGGTAAGTGTGTATCAGACAATGGGAGGGTTAAAAATATAATAAAATAACTTTGCAGTTACAACTAATGGCTTATTTTTCCCTTTTAGTGTATTTAATAGATTCATAAAGTATCCGATGAGCTAGAGCAGTGATGAAATATAACAAAATGAACTATAATTTTCTAATCATTCTAACAGTCTAGAATTTATTTTGTTCTGTTTTTTTTTTTTTTTAAGATGAAGGTCAGTGAAGATAAATTTAAAATCCTGCGCTTAAGCCTTAAATTAAAAACAAGCATTTTTTTAAAAGTATATGGACAAAGTGTGGCTGAAAGTGTGAAGAAAAAGAATTGGGATTTAAATTGACTCTTAACTGAGCTAGAGCCAGCAGGTTGACATAGTTGCTGAGAAGTGGACCCTTAGCGTTGGCTGCATTAATGGAAATACAGCCTTCCAAGCAGACCACACTGAAAGCATTGTGCTGAGTCCAGAGAGAATGCTGTTATTAAGAGAAAGTTGACAGCTCTGTGGAGTGTGTCAGAGGAATCCACAAAGAAAATCACAGGAACTGGAGCCATCCCACTTGGGGAAGATTCACAGAATAGGGAAAGCTGCGATTTGAGAAGCAACAACTGTGGTTTTAGAATCTTAAGAGACCAGGAGTGATGTTATTTATCTTCATTATCCTATGACCTAACCTGAATACCTTGCACACTTAATTAATGTGTATGGTACGAAATGTTGAAAAGTTGGACCTGGGCCACATACCTGTGGAAGCAGAACTCGAATCAGACTTGGAAGTTTTAAGAAGACTGATATCAGCGTGATGAAAGAAAGGACTGTCTAGTAATTAGAATTTTCTAGCAATAATAAAAGCTTCCCTGGCAGAACGAGCTCACTAACATGATGGGAGCTGACCCAGAGTGGAGGGTCACTTAGGAGGGTCACAGGGCTTCTGCGTATCAGGTAGAGAGGTTCTAAAGGTCTGTGACTGAGATGTAGTGATTATAGGTGCTTTGATGTAATTATAACAAGGATTTTCTCTCGCACACTAGGTAGCACCTTCACTACTAAGGTATTTCACGACAATTTAGACTACACACAGGTGAAACAAATGACTTTGCTCTAATTCTTGTAATCAGAGAAGTGATTATTCCTCCCCAGGTTGGATTCAGCTCTTATCTGTAGACTGAGGAAAGGTTTACACGTCGTATCTTTTTATTATTAACACATTTAAACTAAGAGGTTTTGGGGAGAACTGGGAAATGCAGTGAGAACATGTTCTATTATATTTTGAGACATTAGGATATACATTCATTAGTGATGAGTTTAAATTTCTAAAATTTAAGTCCAAATTATGATGAATGAAACACTGCATTATCTATCACTGAAGAATGCTTTTTAATGAAGGTGATAGTTTTAATTTGCTTTAATTGATATTCTCTTTGTCTTTGTACATAAACTCCAGGTATACTAAATCACATGGTTTGCTTGTTGAACAAGCTTTACCAAAAGCTAAACTTAAAGAAATTGTGGCAGAATCTGATGTTATGCTCAAGTAAGTTTCTTGGGTGTGTTTGCTGTTAATTGTCTACAGACTTATATATGTATTCAAGTGTGTGTTTTTATTAAAACAATATATAACAATGTTGCATATAAAAACATAGCCAAAATATGCCACCTATCACAGAATAGGGTGAGGTAAGGAATTTAGAATTAGAATATTACATCTTGGTATAGGGAATAAGAGCCTTATGAGATTTAAGTTTGTTTTCTCTCTTTCTTTTTTTCTTTCTTTCTCTCTTTCTCTCTCTTTTTAGAAGTTTATGAAACCAGGACAATTTTGAATTTTTTTAACAGAATACTTTTGAAAAGACATGAAATATAAAAGGAATGTTTATAAATCAAGTTGAAAAAAAATTTTTGCTCAAAGTGTATAAAGTTACATGAATCTACTTTCTGAATTCTCAGACTTCCTTGAAAACTATCTCTAGGAAAAGTGACTATGATTTAGCAAATAATAAAAATATTTGTAATACACAAATGATAAGATAAAAATTTTTAAGCTTCTTTTCAATACGGTTTACCACCTCTAACAATTTTCAACTCGTTAGGTAAATATGATGATGCCTTTTTTTTTGATGATGCTACATTTTAAGGTGATTTACCTCTAAGGAGGAAAGCATTAAGTGTCAGAAAGAGTGTGAGGACAGCTAGTATTTCATTCCTTTGTAGGCAGCTTAGCCTGTAGCCCAGGAAGAGTAGAAAGGGGAGAAACTTAGATTAAGAACATGACCAACAGCTGTTAAACCTTAGGTAGGAGAGATGCCAGATGTAAAGAGAATGCAGCTCAGTTCCTGCCCACCCCCCTCCAGTTTTCTAAGAGGAAGTAGTTGAGCAGGATGACCAGCAGGAGGTGCTCCAGCTCACCCTAAATGGGTTTCCCAGGGTGAAGCTTTTCAAGATGTGGTTAACTATTTGCTGTTAAATGGTGTAGATTGTGAACTGTAGGCTTATATCCATATTTAATTTGAGTCTAAAAGCATCTAATTTGTACTATTAGAATTTATTAACAGGAAGGCAAAGAGTTAACTGTTGTTTGAAAAACTTGTACTACTATTGTCATAGACATCAATCACCACACTCTTGGGCAGTATTCTGAAAAGGGAATACGAATGAGCTATGGAATTAGGTAGAAATGTTTTGCTTTTTTCTTTCTAGGTGAAAAGGAGATATATCTTGCTCTTTAACAATCAGTTCCTACCTCCATCTTTCAGGGAAGGGTATGAGAATTTCTTTGATAAGCTCCAAGAATACGGTATCCCTGTGTTCATATTTTCGGCTGGTATTGGTGATATACTAGAGGAGATAATCCATCAAGCTGGGGTTTATCACCCGAACATCACTGTAGTGTCCAACTTCATGGATTTTGATGACAGTGTAAGTACAGCAAATCATTCTTCATAATTACTTTTAAAATCCGAATATATTTTAATCATATAAATGCAATTGTTTTTTATTTAATGTATATTCATTAAATTAGGTCACTCAATAGGCCTACTATGGGACTTATCAACTCCCAGTGTTATAATATACCTTTCTTAAACTTTTTTTTTTTTAAGATTTTATTTATTTATTTGACAGAGAGAGAGGTCACAAGTAGGCAGACAGACAGGCAGAGGGAGAGGGAGAAGCAGGCTCCCCGCTGAGCAGGGAGCCTGATGTGGGACTCAATCCCAGGACCCTGGGATCATGATCTGAGCCAAAGGCAGTCGCTTAACCAACTGAGCCACCCAGGTGCCCTCTTTCTTAAACTTTTGTATCCCAAGCTACAGACCAATATTAAAATTAGGAAAAGTTCGGGCGCCTGGGTGGCTCAGTTGGTTAAGCGACTGCCTTCGGCTCAGGTCATGATCCTGGAGTCCCTGGATCGAGTCCCGCATCGGGCTCCCTGCTCTGCAGGGAGTCTGCTTCTCCCTCTGACCCTCCCCCCTCTCATGTGCTCTCTCTCATTCTCTCTCTCTCAAATAAATAAAGTCTTTAAAAAAAAAAAAATTAGGAAAAGTTCTTTTAACATAATTTAATGCAGCAACTCTGAAGACTCAATATCCATAGGTGGAAAAAAAGAAGTGAATTAGAACTGTCGTTATTTGAACAAACTCTTCTAATCAAAACAGTACATTATGACATACAGAAAATGGGACCTCCAGTTAGGAAACATTGGATTTTCAGCTCATTGTGTTTGACATTTAAAGTAGTCTCTAGAAAGTCATTAACGTCTCAGAGCCCTTCTTACCTATCATGAATGTGAAATTAGAACAAACAGAATTTGCAGTTTGAAACCTATTTGTTTCAAAGGATTTATATTTTTATAGGGAGTGCTGAAAGGATTTAAAGGCGAACTAATTCATGTATTTAACAAACATGATGGTGCCTTGAAGAACACAGAATATTTCAATCGACTAAAAGACAATAGCAACATCATTCTGTTGGGAGATTCCCAAGGGGACGTAAGAATGGCAGATGGAGTAGCCAATGTTGAACACATCCTGAAAATTGGATATCTAAACGATAGAGTAAGTATATAGATCTGTCATTTAATTTTCTTGTAAGAAAAATAAGGATGGAGCTTAATGGGAGCTTGTTATTAAACGTGTGTGAGAAAGTAGTTAGAGACATTTTGATTGCTCTTTAACCCTATACTTTGGTGTGGTTAAGGGATTTAGGATTCATATGTGTGCCATCGGTATTGGGGTGGCTTCTCTGGCCTTTCCCCACTAAAAACCTGAAGCACTCCTTAGTCATGAGAGTCAAAAATGTCCCCAATGTTGCCAGGTGTTGCTTGGGCACAGTCTCCCCAGTTGAGAACCACTGGACTAGAGAGAAATGACTTTAGGAGTAAAGCCACCATGTGGGATGATTTCTATGTCCATGAGTCTTCAAAGTTTGAAAGTATTTCTTCATTTCAAAGGTTTTATGAAGGTAAATTTAATTTGCTACATTTTGCCCAAAAGATTAAACCTAACAGTGAGATTCACACTGAAACTATTTGCTTCTCCTTCCTGCGCATCCATGTAATTTTTTGTTGTTGTTGATTTAGGTGGATGAGCTTTTAGAAAAGTACATGGACTCTTACGACATTGTTCTAGTAAAAGACGAATCATTGGATGTAGCCAACTCTATCTTACAGAAGATTCTGTAAACAAGCATTCTTCAAGAAGACCTCTCTCCTGTGGGTGCAATTGATGCAAGAACTGCTCACCTATTCATCTTGCTGAAAGACTTCTATTTATAATGCGTTCTTGCTCTTGAAGTTTTTTTCTCTCCATTACTGAGGTATTTTTGGACATATTGAATCCAGCAACTGGAAGCTCCTTTTTTTTCCCCACCTCTCTCAACACACTCCTCAACTCTATTTTTTAAGATTGAAAAAGAAAATCGTAAAGCCAAAATTTGAAAAATAACTCCCTGCATTTCCAGAGTGAATTTTTTAGTGTAATGTTATCATGAGGTTTTTGAGAAAACTTTTTACTCTGGGAAAGTTTGTATAAGTTTAAAAAGAAGTTTTATGAAATGGTGAAATAATGTGCATGATTTTAACTGTTGCCATTTTTGTAATTGGGGTGAATTATGCTGATAATATCACCATCTCCTGAAATTGTATTATATTTGGTTATTCTGTTCCGTGAAAGTCAGTATTTGCCAGAAAATATTGGCACTCAGTGTTTGAAAAAAACCATTTGTATCCACATGTCACTAATCATTACAAAATGTTCTATATTGAAGCACTGATAATACATATGAAATGAAAAGCCTTTTTAAATTATACTGTCCAGACAATTATTATTCATTTATTCAACACATACCTATTAAGCATCTGCTATGTTTTTCCTGTGTGTTTGAGAGAGAGAGGGAAAGAGGGAGAGAGAAATCCTAGTGTCATTGTCATAGTGTCTATTCAGATTGAATATTTTTAAACTTAGACATTATAAGTTTAAGGATAAAAAGATAGTTGCAGAGGAAATTTAATCAGCCCTTCAGAAAATACTGGGGACTGGGAAAATTTGTTTTCCCTCATTGAAAGTATCAGTAAAAGAGGGTACTTTGTTGTAAGTCTAAGAGTTTCAGAAATAGCCACCGGCAGGGAACAAAGTGTAGCTGGATCTCCTGTTAACTAAAACTGAGTACTGCTAAATTAGGAACTGGCATTCCTCTCTGCAGTCTGACTTCCCATTCCAAATTTCTGCTGCCCCATAATTGGTTTCCACAAGGTTTAGACTTGCCATGGTGATAAATGTGACCCTGACTCTAACCATTTTCACTCCAGAGTCTACGAGCCACTAATTCCATAAAGCATCTGAGCTGTGATACAGAGCATGTTCCAGCTGGCTCTGGACATCCAGTGTGGTCGGCAGTCTCTAGTCCAATTTGATGTGGCAGGTAGGCAAGGCATTGCAGTAAAAACCTTTTCCCTAGGGCAGCCCATCCTTATCCTCTACCACTACCTCTCCTTTTTATAATAAACAATGAAACAAACTCTGCAGTGGCCAAAAGTAGACTATTCCCTGCTTAAGTTGGGGATTTCTGATCTAATGGTAGCTTTTTATCCCGTATTGCTATTAGAGTTGGCCATATTGACTGTTTTCCAAAGGACCTTATAATATGCTTCTAAAGAGAAGCATGGTGCGTGGTATAAATGTAAAGAATACTGAAGTTATGACCTCCATTCTAGTCATGGCTCAGCCCTGTACTAAGACTATAGGTCAGGCACCTCCCTTTAAAACGAGGGCCTGGAGGGCATGCAGGTTCTCCAGCTCCTTCCGGCCATGCCCTAACTGGATTACCAAACCAAGGCCCCTGCCTCTTCTACAGTCTGCCTGTCACCCTATCACCTCTCACTGCCCATTTCTACCGATATTTAAAATAATTTGTTTTCAAGTTCAGCTTTCGGAGAAGTTTAGTGTAGCCATTAAGAAATGGGCTATAGAGTCAAACTGTCTGGATTTGAATCCTCTTTCTACCATTTAGTAGCTGTGTGACCAAGACACATTATTTAACCTGTGTCCCAGCTTGCTCATCTGTAAAGTGAAGGTAATGATACATCCTCTAGATGTAACATTGTGAGGATGACATGCGCTCATCAACACCGATGTGTGCTTTTAAGTTTTATATTTGCATTTAGAATAGCTTAGCACCAGTATTCAATATGGTTAGCTCTTACCCATTCACGAAGCAGTTTGGATGGATGGAGGAGATGGAAATCTCTTTCATAGCCCTAGTGAATATTGGTAGTGTGTAGTCACTACCATGTTCTCTAAAGGGTCTAGCATTAGCTGTTAGGGTTTTTTGGGTTTTGTGGGGTTTTTTTTTTTCCAATTTTGAATTTTACTTTAGGAGGTAAAGCAGTTTTGGGTGCTGAGATGAACGATTTTGATGAAACTGAAAAACAAAAACAACTATCAGAGATACTAGTTTGTTCCAGAGTGATTTTACAAGAATTCTGCATTCCATGGTATGTTTAATAGACACCAGAGTTGATTAGGTAGATTATTAAAGGGTTTTGTGTTTTTTTTTTTTAAGATTTTATTTATTTGTCAGAGAGAGAGCACAAGCAGGGGGAGTGGCAGGCAGAGGGAGAAGCAGGCTCCCAGCTGAGCAGGGAGCCTGATTCAGGACTCGATCCCAGGACCCTGGGATCATGACCTGAGCTGAAAGCAGATGCTTAACTGATTGAGCCACCCAGAGGCCCCATTAAAGGTTTTTTTAACCACACTTTAGGTTCAAGGTTTTCTCTTTGGTGTACCCCATGGAGCATCAGGAAGGAAAAGATATGTGGGATCTTGAATAACTAATCCTGGAACTTGTCCAAGGTTACCTCAAGATTCACCAATCCTGCTGTGTTTTATACTTACTCTGGTATTACAAGTTTAATAGATAAGATAAAATGTGCCCAAGTTGTAAGGGGCACAGGCCTTCAAGCCAGTCAAACCTGGATCTGAGTCTTAGATTCTCTCTAGGATATTTAGTAAGTTTCTAACTTTTCTAAGCCTTGGTTTCCTCATCTCTAAATTGGGGTATGAACTTGAGGTGAGGATTGAGTAAATGAACAGTTACTTGTCCAACAAATACTGAAGTCCTGGCTGTGGGCTAGGTTCTAGAGAAACAGTAATTAACACATCCCACATGCCTCCTGCCCTCCTGTAGCTTCCATCCTAGCAGATGTGACAGAAATAAGATACCATGAAGAAACCAACACAAATATTTTAGACAAGGCAGCCAGAGAAAGCTCTGAAGAGATAGTATTTCAGCCAAAGCCTGAAGGATAAGGAGCCAGCCATGTGAGGAATCGAGGGAGAAACAAACATTCCAGGGAGAGAGAATGGCAGGTGCAAAGGTCCTGAGTAAGAAAATTGAAGCCAGAGAACTGGCTTAACAGTGTTATGAGCAAAGGGAAGAATGGAATCATTAATGGGAGGTGAGGGTGCCAGATTACACAGGGCTTTGTAAATCATGAGTTTGGTTTCCTCTCCCTGCAAAGCAGTGCCATGATCACGCTGACATGCAGAAAATGGACTGGTGGGGCAGATCTACCCCAGCAAATCAGTGAGGGGGCTGCTGCAAGAAGTCTGCACTAAAAATTACAGTAGGGCTCAGGGAGAAGTGGATCATTTTCACTAGTTTAGATTTAGAAATGACAAGACTTGCTTTTGGGTTAACCGTGTGGGGTGAGAGAGGAGGAAGGGTCTCGAAGATGTCTGGTTTAAGCAAGTGGAGGTGGGGGAGGAAAGAACAGGCTTGGGTGGAGGGTATTGGGAAGGCAGGGGGAACGCACATTCTCTTTTGGACATGCAAAGTTTGAGGTACCTGTGAGGTACACAAGGGAAGATACCAAATAGACTAGAGCTCAAAGGAGAAATTTAGGCTGGGACCAGGCATTAATTGTCTGGGTTTAAATGAGATACGAATATGGCCAGTGTAAGCTGGAAGGACTCCCTTGACCTTTTAAAATTCCAACATTAAGGACAAAGACTACACAGAATCAAACACTATTTCAATAAGCATGCAAGTTTTATATCTGCAACTAGCAATAAATAATTGGGAGCAGTATTCTTACTTTATAAAGAGATGCAGATCCCCAAGAAAGCCACCTTGGGGCACCTGGGTAACTCAGGTTAAGTGTCTGACTCTTGGTTTTGGCTCAGGGTCCTGGGATCAAGCCCCACATCGGGCTCTGTGCTAGGCCCAGAGTCTGCCTGAGATTCTCTCTCTCCCTCTTCCCCTCCCACTCGTGCTCTCTCTAAATAAACACACACACACATACATACATAACATACAAAAAGAGAGCAACCTTGTTCCTAGAAACCTAAGACGTTGAAGTGCAGTGTATCAGCACTTACGTAGAATCTTGCAGTCAGGTCAACTCTCCTGCCAAAATGAAATGCTTTTTTCTGTCTTTTAAGTAACAATTTTGAAAGGTATTATAAATTCCTAAGTAATCAGAGATCAAAACTCACCGGGTTTTAACAAAATAATGCAGATAGCTTATGCTTGCAAGGTTAGCCTAGTGGTGTTTCAAGGACACAGATCACATGCATACTCAGATGTCATGTTCACTGAGATGCTCTAATCTCCCACTGGGCATCAATGACCTACTTCATCTTTAGGGCCCAGAGTTCAAAATCTGCATAAGTCAGAAGTTAGGTGGTCCCAATCTAGAGCCTGTGATAGCTGTCCTATCAAGAGATCCAAGCTGCCTCAAGCAGCAACACAAAAGCTGTGTATAAAATATGATTAAGAAAAATGCCCCGTGGCATCTGTACCCCATATTTGGCTCCCTAATGAGTACTCACATTCCTGCCCGCGGAGCTGTCACCCAAATTAAATAATGCAAATGTAAACACGTGTTGCATCAGCATTATAAAGTGAGGCCATCTGAGCAGTTGGTCCTTCCAGAGATTAAAGCCCCTGACACAGTCACAGATAACTGAATGCCCTCCTTAGCAACAGGAAGAATGGAAGTGCCCACGGAGCATTCAACAACAAGCCAAAGGTTTAGAACGATAAATACCACACAGTATTATTTATATGTGGCATGAAAAAAAAATTAAGCTGAAGTCATAGAAACAGAGTACAAAAGTGGTTATGGGGGGGCGGGGGGAAAGAAATAGAGATTGGTAAAAGGGTACAGACTTTCAGCTTTAAGATAAACAGGGTCTGAGGATTTAATACGTAACATGGTGACCTGTACTGTATAGTTTTAAAATTTGCTAAGAGTATAAAACATAAATGTTCACACACACACACACACACAAACTGAGGTGCTAGGTGGGGGGGAGATCCTTTCACAAGTAAACATATATACATATATCAAATTGTCACATACACTTTAAATATCTTACAGTTTTATTTGTTCATTATACCTCAGTAAGGCTTGGGAAGGAAAACAAAACAAAACAAAACAGGTGGCAGGCTGGAGACTCAAGAAGAGCCAGCATTTCAGTCTGAGTCTGAAGGCCAGAGAAGACCAAGGTTCCAGCTCAGCCATTGCGCAGGCAGAGTTTAAACACAAAAACAAGCTAAGGGTTCCCTCTATTCTGGAAGCTCTGAGGCCCACAGTCCTTAATTTCCCCAGAGAAACGTGTCTTTTATTCAGCCATCCTGTCTACACCACCAAAGAAAACCGCCAGTGAAGAAATTCAATCAGGACCGACTAAAAACGGGGGGCAGAGAATAAGCACCAGGTTTTTTTTTATCTTCATGAAGATGTGTAAGGATAGTGAGGTGTTACAGGTCAGATGCATTCCAAAGGACAATTTAGCAAAATTATTAACCTATGTAGTGCACTTAAGGAATTCTGTTAAATAGGAAATCAGGAGTGACGGTGCGCTCTGTAGAAGGCAGGTGGAAGAATGCCAGTTACCATGACAACAGCAGCCAGGAAGGCCACGGCAGGCGTCTTCTCTGCCTTCCAAACCGTAGAGTCCCCGAAGTTGCTTCTGCAAACAGTAGCATTTGCTTTTAAAAAACATACATTTCCTCTATACATGTCAGTCATTCCCCCATTTGCTCCCACTCCAATCCCTGCAGTCAGTCTCTCTGCGCCCCCAAAAGCTGACCTCTAAGACTACCAGCCCCTAGCCTCCTCCTCCTTTGGCTTCAGCTAGTGAGAACCAGGGACAGGACAGAGAAGCAGGGGTCTCTGCCCTCACTCCTCTGCTGCAGTACCAGCCACAGTTCTGGGCATGTCTGTGGCTCCCCTTCACCTTTCAGGCCCAGAGGTGGAACAGCCTCCTACTGGTGCTCCCCAACCGTTGTCATGGTACTTGACATCCTTACTAGGTCTCTGTGCCCTGCCCCCACTCCTGTAAAGTCCTTTATGCAGCTTCTCCTCAAAAGTCCCATGTGAGGGTGTGTTTCCTGCCAGGACTCTGACACACTCGCTGTATACTGTACCTCACACTCCTGCAAATTCAGAGGCAGTCCTTGAGTGTTTATCAAGGGGACTGTCAATGGATAATCAAGGTGTATTCTCATGGGATCCTCTCAGCCCTCAAGTAAAACTCCACAAAACCTGATGTTATAATTCAATTTTTTATATACGAAACGATGAGTCTTCCAACATTTATTCCACTGAATGAGTGCACAGCATTTTCATGAACTATCTCAGAGCTACATCAGTACAAAACAGTTTAAATTAGTAAAATAAAGCAGTTTCCAAAGGAAAATCATTGATTACTTCAGGGTGGATGCCACCACCACTTGGGAACAGAGCACGTAAGGCAGCAAGGTGGTTACTGCGTAACATGGGGACAGGCTAGAAGATAACCATGTCCTTGTTTCCCTACACAGAGGCCCCTGGGCTTTCGGGCACCTCCCTCTCCAGGACACGAATGAGTGGAAATATGTCACCTTGTTTATGCTCATCTGTTAGAGTGACATTTCCATCTTGGTCACAGTGAGATACTCTGGAGCACGGCTTAGCCACCAGCCCTGTGCATATCTATCTGACCGAAAGATTCAGGGAGGACAGAGCAATGGGAGTAAGAAAGGGTGAAGCAGATAATCTTGCATGGTAAACACAGAATCAAATTCTCTACTCGTGGTCCAAGATGCCTTTTGTTGGTCCACTGATTTTCTTCTTAACCTCCAAGTTACCCAGCCAATCAGAAGACCACAACAGGTAGGGCCTGATTAACTACAAAAGCACACATGTACGAGCTGTACGTGTGTGTGTGTGGCAGGAAGTGGAAGCTGGGCATTACCAGAACCTGTACAGGCCACTGACAGTTTTCTGGGGCTTTCGGGGAATGCTGCTGGGACATGCCCTTTGTCTTTTCTGCTCATCTGGAGAACACTTTTAAAACACCAGCAAGTTAAAAAACAAAAAAATGTGGATCCTCTTTATGTGGATATCCTGGACACTTTCTCTTCTGTTCCCTCCAAGATGGTTGTAACTTCTGTATGACACTATTTTCCTTTAATAACAAAACTACCCGGAAGCCTCACAAAACAATGGCTGACAGGGCAGCCTTTTCAATATTCTACACAGCCCCTGCTAAGGCACCTCGAACCAATTTTGTTTCGTATCACTGGCATGTGGCCTAAAGTTCTCACCATGTTTATCAACCCATCCCTGACATGCCCCAGGTACTGTGTGACCGTCTACTGCTTGTGGACCATTCCCCTTCTGAGAGACCCTTACGCCTCACTTCATGTTCTGCCACGACAGGGGGCTTGGTGTCACACAAGTGGCCTGAGTCAGGTTTAGAGTTCATCATGTTTGGCCTCCTGGTCTTTGAGTTTGAATTCTTCTGCCGTGACCTTCCCGTCTCCATTCCGGTCCTGGTTGGTGAACATATTCTTCACAATCACCTCAGCATCAAAACCAGGAGCGAGTTTCCCTTTGCCAGATGCCACCTGGGCATGAATGTACTCTGAGAACTGGAGAGAGGGAACAAGATAGGACATGAGATACAGCAGCTGAGCCTGGGCCTGAACAGAGCCTGAACAGAGCATCCCGAGGGCGATGGGGCTGGAATTGGAGGCTGAGCTCACAAAACAGACACAATTTTATGAGCTACACAACCTGTTTGTTTGTTTTTTACCCCTCCAGATGCAGGTTAAAAACCCCTGACTAAGGACTCCAGGAGCCCCTAGGTTCCAGGCACCCAAAACACAGCTATCCTTTCTTCCCTAATCAACACTTAGTTCTCCACCAAAGGCTAATCCCCTAACCACCCTAGCCCCTGAGAACACTGCTTCCTGCGCCCATTCATTCATTCATTCATTCATACAATAAAAACTTGTCTACTGTGTGCTGAGCACCATCCAAGATCCTAGAGAGACATCAATTTAAAAAAAGTCTGCCCTTGTAATTCTAGCATATCCTAGTAGGAAAGATACAATTAGAAAGGAACATTTAAAAAAAAATAAGGAAATCACATATTAAGTTAGAAAGTGAAGTGCTCTAGAAAACAAGAGTAGAGCCAAGCAAGGAAGATCAAGAGCACAGGTAGGGGAGGAGGTTGAGGTCCCGATCCAGCGGTCAGGGTAAAACCCTAGTGAAAAATGAAGACCTGTGCAAAGGCTTGAGGGAAGGGAGGGAAGGAGCCAAACAGTTATCCAGGCAAGTGTCTTCTGAGAGGAGAGACAACTGGTGCAAAGTCCCAAGGGGGGTGCATGCCTGGTGGTGGTGGGGAGGAGCAGCTGGAGAGGAAGTTACAGTGACCAGGTCAGGGAGAACCTTTGTGGGGGCCTTTACAGGCCACTGTGAAGACTTTGGAAATGGGGATCTTCTTCAGGGTTCTGAGACAAGGCGAGCCATGATCCAGTTTAAGTTTTAGAAGGCTCACTCTGGCTGCTGTGAGGGGCAAGGGTGAGAGCAGGAAGACCTTCGTGGAGGTCCAAGCCAGACACAGCAGGCACTGGACCACAATGCTATAGAGTGGAGATGGTGAGAAGTGGTCAGGCTCTAGATAAATTTTCAAGATAGAGCTAGAACAATTTCCTGCTAGATTAATTATAGCCTGTGTGAGAAAGAGGGGAGTCGAAGATGACTGAGTGCTCTTGCCTGAGAGTTGCCATCAGAGGAGATGAGGAAGGCTTTGGGTGAAGCAAGACCAGAGGAGGGAGGTAGCAGGAGTTCAGAAAGTGAAGATGTCCGGTGGGTAGTTAGATGTAGGAGTCTGAAGTAGAGAGAGAAGACTGGACTGGAGCTACAAGTTTGGATGTCACGGGGCTATGGATGGCAAAGCCACGGGACTGGTTGAGATCACCCAGGAAGTGACGTTAAGGTGGAGAAGGTAACAAGCTCAGGACTTCAGGCTGGGGCACTCCGACATGAGGAGATCAGGGAGAAGATTCCTGAGAAGGACTGACTCGTGAAGGCGAAGGAAAACCAAGAAAGTGTGGTCTGGAAGCCAGGGAAAGAAGGCATCCTGCAAAGCAGTTGGCTTTGTCCAAGTTCGAGGAGAGTGAGACGTGACCACTGGTTGCAGCAACATGAAAGGCACCAGTCACCTTAGCAAGACGTGACATGGAGGGACAAATGTCTAACAGGAGTGGGTTTAAAAGAGTTTTGCCATTTTTGGTGTGAAGGGGGCAAAGAAATAAATGGAAAGATGCACCAAGAGAAGGGAAATGAGCATGTGAACCACCCAATAGCCGGGAAAATGTGACTGATGTCAGAAAGTGGAGAAGGCTGGAGCCCTGTCCTTGAATAAGCAGATATAGAATGGGCAGAGTAGTGGAATTTAGCAGGGTGTGTGTGACAAGACAGACCACTCTACTGCCCAGCTCCACAAAGGGGCGTTTGCTACAGAAGAAACCACCAAGCACCTAGATGATCAAGACCAGGGTATGTATCCTGGCTCAAACCACTGGCTAGCTGTGTGACCCTGGGCAAGCCATTTACCTTCTCTGTGCTCAGCTGCTTCCTCTGAAACAGGGATGATGACTACATGGCTGCCACAAGGGCCAGGCAAGATAATATATGTGAAAAACTCTTAGCATAATGCAGGCACACAGTGAGCACCCAGGAACTGAGAGTTGAATTGTGAGCCCTGGAATCAAGCCCCATACCTCTCAAGGCTTCAGTTTCTTCAAAGAGGAATTGTGAGCTTCAATTTAGAGCATGTGTACAGAAGTGCTTGGTACATGAGCGTGTGCAGGTTACCATCATGGCCAGAAACAGGCACAGGTGTCCTCCTCACTCTAGGAAGGTTTCACATTCAGAATGGATCCCCTGCCCCAATAAGGCTCCCCTGGCTCCTTTAGTCCCGCTTTCCTTCAAAGGTCAGTTACCTCTTCGAGGAGGACTTCTCCATTACCATCCTTGTCGATTTCTTCAAAGAGGTTGGGTGACACCTCGCCATTCCATATGAACATGTACCCCTCAGGCAGACCGGCCACGAGCTCCAGCAGCTCAATGTCAAACACCAGGACGGCGCTGCCGGGCACTTCTCCATCTGCCTCACCGACAGGGGAAGAGACAGTGTTAGTGCCACCAGACAGCGGGCATGCCCATCTCAACCTCCTTCCCCTCACCCAGGGTTCCAGCTGCCTCATGGGTGGCAAGCATTTCTTGTGAGAGCAAGAAAGTTCCACACCAGCAAGAGGTTTTTTCCAAACTGTAGGTAGTGACCGTTAGTGGGTCATGAAATCCATTTACAGGATGGTGACCAGCATTTTTTTTAATTAAGAATAGAATAGATAAGGATACACTGCATCTAGAAGGATAGGTATGCCTTTATGAAACTTGAGTTCAATTTTATATATAAAACTAAATGTATATGTATATATGTATAAATTGCATGCTTATGTGTACTACAGATGAGATAAAATGTATTTTTTTTAAGAAGTTTTTATTTATTTATTTGAGAGAGAGAGAGAGGAAGACAGAGAAGGAGTGCGTGTGCACACATGCAGGGGGAGGGGCAGAGGAAGAAGAAGAGAATCTCAAGCCGACTCCCCACCGAGTGCAGAGCCCAAAGTGGGGCTTGATCCCATGACTCATGAGATCATGACCCGAGCCGAAACCAGGAGTCAGATGCTTAACCGACTGAGCCACCCAGGTACCCCCATGAAATTTATTTCTTACTGTATGTCTTGGTGAAAAAGTTTGAAAGCCACTAGTAGAGACTATAGTTGTAGAACTTTTGAATAAATCCTACAGCAGAACCTTCAGAATATTACAGTATGCCTTAAAATCCTGATCTAAGATATGACTATAAAAACAAATTTATGAACAGTATATACAGTATGAACCCAAAAGAAATTATATAAGCATGTGAATATATATACACATATATAATATGTCTTATTTGAAATTATTATATATTACAAATACTTATATATCCCATGGTCTGATAGGGTACACATTTTTTTTTAAGTCTTTCTTCTTGGACTGGGGAGACTAGCAGGCAGTTGTGGGGTTTTGTTTTTGTTTTTTTTTTTTTAAATAAGCTCTACACCCAACATGGGGCTCAAACTCACGACCCTGAGAACAAGAGTCACATGCTCCTTGGGCTGAGCCAAAAAAAAAAATTGTGAAAAAGAGAAAATCAACCCAAAGTGATCTTTTATAAGTTAGCACTTCCCATCTCCAGAAAGTAGGAGCATAAAACATTGAAGAAGATGGGGTTCCCAAATCCCCTATGTGTAGGACTCATTTTGACCCAAATCATGAAGTCAACCATACCAGCTGTGAGGGCAAGGTAAAGCTAGTATTTCCGAACTTGACACTCATCTCTTCCGAAAGGAAATCTTCATGGATAGCTTACAGGTTCAGGAGAAGTGAAAAGCAAAGTCCTGTAGCATTCCACTGTCCCAGGAACCTGTTCCAGAAGGAAGTCTCAGCTTCACTTAACATAAATCACTGGGAAAGCTCCTTTAGGGACATTTCCCACACATGGGTTTAAAGACCGAAGGCGTTTTTTCACAGAAACTCCTGCTTTCTTAAGGAGGTGTGGGGCATTAACACTGAATTCACAGGACTCTTTAAACAAAGATGCTAAATTTAAGTATTAACTCATGACATTATATTATCATGTGTTATAGTATTAATATTATATTAGATATACAATAAACACATTTTAATTATATATAAAATGTATAACATTATGATTATATATTATAATATCAACTGATTAATAATATTAATTCTAAACCCACAGATTCTTTGGGTTTTTTTAAGTTTCTTTTTTTTTATGATTTTATTTTTAAATAATCCCTACACCCAATGTGGGGCTCGAACTCACAACCCCAAGATCAAGAGTTGTATGTCTACCAACAGAGCCAGCCAGGCAGCCCTGATTCTTAGGGTTTTATTTATTTTTAATTTTATTTATTTAACACAAGTAGGCAGAGCAGTAGGCAGAGGGAGAGGGAGAAGCAGACTCCCTGCTGAGCAAGGAGCCTGATCCGGGGCTCGATCCCAGGACCCTGGGATCATGACCTGAGCTGAAGGCAGCCGCTTAACCGACTGAGCCACCCAGGTGCCCCGTCTTTGGGTTTTAAATGGAAGAAGCATACTGTGGTTCTAAATATGGCGCCCCCCAAAAGCACAACATTCAGACTGTGAACATGCCCCAAACACCCTGTAATGCCATTTGTTGCTTACTCACCCACACCAGCCTCCCCATAGCCCAGGTGGGGTGGAATGACCACTGTCCGTTTCTCTCCAACGCACATCTCTCTGAGACCCATATCCATTCCCAACACAACTTGTCCAGATCCCAAAACAATATTATATGTCTTGCCTAAATTCCACCTGAAAAGGAAACAGAAGAGTCCCCGGTTAGGTCAGCAACCCATTGGTAGTTGAGAGTGTATTCATGAGAACACATCTACATCTCTTCTGTGATCTTTCTGCCAAAAATACAAAACCCCTGTCTAATCGGGAGAAAACATCAGACAAGCCCAAATTGAGAAACATTCTGCAAAATAATGAAAGTATAATCTTCAAAAGTGTCAAGAAAATCAAGGGAAGTCCAAGGAGCCATTCCAGAGCACTGGAGCATATTGAATGGGATCCTTTTGCTTATATAAAAGACCTTATGGAAACAACTGGCAAAACCTAGGTGGGGTCTGAGGATTAAAAGATAGTAACATACCAGTGTTAACTTTGTGGCTATAAAGTGTGTGTTGAATTATGCAGGAGCATGTCCATATTTGTAGGAAAGGTGCACGAATGTACTCAGGGGTGATGAGACATCATGGTGGCAACCTACTTCTCAATGATTCCAGGGAAAAGGAAGTCCTTTGGACTGCTCTTATGACTTTAATCAATACCCCAGTAAGGAATTTTCATGAGAATTTGAAAAACATATAATAAAGACCCTGAGTTTTGGATTTAGCAAGACCTGAGTTTGAATCGTGCTTCTGCCACTTAACTGGACCTTGAGAAATAAAATCCCTCCATTTCCTCATCTAGAAACCGGAGACAGTGAGAGCCATCTCACAGGGGTGTTCTTCTTAAGAGTAAATAAAATAAGTCTGCTGGCAGCCAGGAGAACAAGCATAAAGAGCTCAGTAAGGGGGGGCGCCTGGGTGGCTCAGTTGGTTAAGCGACTGCCTTTGGCTCAGGTCATGATCCCGGAGTCCTGGGATCGAGTCCCACATTGGGCTCCCGGCTCAGCAGGGAGCCTGCTTCTCCCTCTGACCCTATCCCCTCTCATGCTGTTTCTCTCTCTCTCTCTCTCTCAAATAAATAAATAAAAATCTTTAAAAAAAAAAAAAAAGAGCTCAGTAAGGGGATGGCCTTGAGGGTGTGAAGTGCTTATGTCTGTAATAGTTCTTGACTTTAGAAAAGTAACTGAAAGTTTAACTTGAGCCATGGCTGAAATTATCCTTGATGTCCACCCATCCCGGGGAAATCCACATAAATAAAAGTTGGGGCTCCATCACCTCAGTTGCTACTGAAAATAAATCTCTTCCCAAACGCATGGCACTCCTGCTTTCTGCCATTCCCTAAAGACGAACAATGGAACTATTCTTCAATAGCAAGGAGGAAAAGCCTCCCCAGTATCTGCCCGTTACCAGGTGGCGACAGCGCCCCTTTGGGTCACTTCTCCTTCTCAGGCTTCCCAGCCTCCCCTGGGGGCAGGGCTACCGCCATCTTCCCTTCTGAAACTGTTCCCAGGGCCAGGCTGGTTGTCAGGCACCCACAAACCAAAACAGTTTGCATCTGTCCTACCTGGGACGAAACCAAAACAAAGCCAACTCGGGCATAGGCTGCCTTGGCTCAAGGCCTATGGGAGGGAGCAGGATGTCCTCTGTCCCGCCTCCCACACAATTCGTCCTTTGTCAGCAGCACAGAGACACCCTCACACTGCCTTCCTCCAGGGACCCCTGGGGACCTCCCATGGGACTACTCCATTTCAAAGTCTTACAGAATAGTCAAAATCTCATTTAGTCGTCAAATAACAAAGGCTTATTCTTCTTCTCTGAGGCCAATATAAACACACATTAAGAAAATCCTCCAAGCAAACATTTTGCTTTCATGTATCACCTCCAATGCCCCACTAATTCTTCTTCCTCAGATCAACCTTTTATTTATTTATTTTTTTTTTGCCAGTTTTTCTCTGACATTCTCCTCATTCCTTCTGTGCATTCCCGGCTTCCCATCCACTGCAAGCTTCCTGCTGCCCACTTGCAGGCCACCCTCTCTGGCTCTTCGCCCGCATTTCCCCTCCATCCTCTCAGCAGCCAGCTTCTCTTATGCTGATCAAAAGTGCCCACAGCATCACCTGCCTCCTTGTTTACAGAGGGCTCGGGGTGGGAGCAGTCTCATCTTCCTCTCCCACACACAGGAGGCAAACACCCACCATACATCCTATTTTCCCATTATTCTGAAGCTCACACCCATAATAGACCAGGGGGATGCCAGATGTTACTCTTCGGTATAGATTTACATGGAACACAAATGACTCCCATGGTCTAGAATGGAGTCTGATAAGAGGAAGGAACATCACGTGGCTCCTGGAGACTCTGCAGGAATGTTATGAATCCACCAAACGTTAGAAGGCAGGAAGGCTGATTCTCCCCACCCTCCACAAGAAGCATATCCTGAACCCATTGAGAAGGAATTCCTTTGTTCATTTTCCACCCCCACTTCCCCTCACCCCCGCCCCAGAGTAAGAGCACCAGACAAGAATATGAACATTAGCAAGAGCAGTGATAGCAAGCCATTGACCTTACAGACTATTCTAAACTTGTGGACCCTAAGCTCATTTGATCCCCCAAGCAAAAAGCCATGTTTCTTCTCTGCTGCCCTCCAAAGGCTTCTAATATTAATGCAAGGAGGTTTGTTGTAAAGCAGGTCCTTGTAAATCTGAGCTCCAGAAGCTAGTACATATTTCATTGATTCTAAAATGCACATAGTTTCACATTCTAACATCTCTGTAATTGTGATACACTTTATGATTAGCAGCATGTTAATTTGGGGGCAGTGTTTTTACTTTCTTAGAGATACATAAAGTAATGCTTCTAATAATCAACACATTTTAGATCTGATGAAAAACACTAAGTGCATTAATATACAGGATCTCGTAGCACCAGAGAGAATGCTCTGAAGAGCATGTCCCTAGGGCTCCGTCTCCATGTCTGGCTCTTGCCAGCCCCTCCCCAACAATGTCACCTGAAGCTGGAAGGCAGAGGGGCAGGTGGGAGGGAGAGAAGGCCCTCCTCATTCAGCATAAATGCAGCAACACATATTTATATGAAGCCCTTCTTTCTCCCCAGCCCAAACTTAGGAATCTAAGTCAGGCTCAGTACGAAAATGGATATACTTATATACACATATAAAGGACGGCTGAAAATGTTTCTTTCCCAGAAAAGAGAATATTTTACCTACAATTACATCTAAAGATTCAGAAACATAAGAAGCTCCTTTTTACCAAAATTGACCAATGATACTCATTTATACTGTTGATTCCTACTAATAAAATTTCAGATTCATCTCAATTAACATTTATAAAATGCTCCCTTGGGGCGCCTGGGTGGCTCAGTCATTAAGCCTTCAGCTCAGGTCATGATCTCGGGGTCCTGGGATCGAGCCCCACATCGGGCTCCCTGCTCGGCGGGAG